TATGTGTCTTCCCTAGTTTGAGGAGCACCTCCCGCCCTCCCTAAATTGCGTGCACTAATCCCGTCACCACCAATCCTAGCACCACTACTCCCAACACCACCATTTTAGGAAAGACACACCATCGATGATAATACGACACGTGTTTCGCCTCTACACGAGGCATCTTCAGGTGATGTTGACTCTACGGCGGCGGCTGACCGCTAAGACTATTAATATCATTTATTAGAATGGATTTCCACAAAGTAACGCCTGATTAAATAAATTATTTTTAATAAGGATTATTATAGGGTAAGTCCGGGGGAGTTTTCCATAGTTTATTTAGAAGTCAGTAAAATTGAAACTACAAAGATTAATGAACAAAAATAAACTTTTAATTCAACTTTCGACATTAAACTCTTAGAATATCATATATAAGTACTGAACATCAACATAATCAGTCTCATAATTTACTTTTTTTCCAAAAAATACCAAAACGATTGGCCATTTCTCCCCATCTCTTTTCCTCATCCGGAATTACCCTACTACTGAAGAGTACATGATTGATTGTAACCCCTGAGAATGAGGTGATCACTATCACGCTGTTTCTAAACGTTTTCATACTTATTGGTGCGTTGCAAAAGGGAAGCCCCCATAAGAACAACAAGCGAAGAAAATACTTGAAACGCCGAACCCACCCCTTTTTTTTTTTATTTAGTTTAAAGGTTAAAAAAAAATAAAAAAAAAAAAAAGGTAAATGGGCCCCACAGAAATGCCGCCACCAGCCCATTGTATAAAATATTTTACGGTAAATTAATATTTTTAAAAGAAGTCTGAGCTTCTTGCTGGTTCTTCCGAAGACAGAGGTTTTTTTTCCAAACCAGTGGTGAAATTTAAATGACTTTCAATAAGAATACCTTTAAGCTATCTTTAAATATAAAAATCTATTACTGTCCGCCTAACTGAAACTCAAAAACGGCTCGACCGATTTTGATGGACTTTTTTGTGTGTATTTGAGTAGGTCCCTGGATGGTTTAGATTTACAACTGAACCCGGTAGGTAGGAGATGTAGTAGATACTTAAGGTAGTATTGAATAGAAATTATTCTATTCTAATATATAACCTCCCTTATATTTAAGATACAATACATATTTATTTCTTACATCGATTTCAAAATAAAAACGGCACTCTGTAGACGCATCGACACAGGGAAAAGCAGTGAGAAGAAACCTCTAAGTACATTTTGAAACAACCCCCAGGGAGGTTATTGACCGGCACTTAACGGGATGAAAACCACCCCCGGCAATACCGCTAAAAGCATCGCCTATACAAAGGGTAGGTAGCTCGAGTAATGGAGGGATGCTATACACCTGAAAATAAAAGGGAAAAAAATATTTTTAAATGAAGCGATTTGTGTTTCAAATATTATATTTGGCAAGCTGAAAAAATTTAAAAAGCTTCAAAATAAAGCCTGTTTTGTTGTTTTTGCGCTGATTGAAGTATATTCACCTATTTATTTTACCAAAGACCGCATTATACTTTTAATATATACAAATCTCAATCATTTACTCTTTCATTATAGTCTTTAAAAGGCTTTCTAAAGTTTTCTAAGCTTTGAAGAGTCTACTGCTGAACACAGGCCTTCCTTAGAGGATATTTTTTATAGGATAAGGTGACAAACAAGCACACAGTCCACCTGATGGTAAGCGGTTGCTGTATTTATAGATATCTAGGTGCATTTATCCTCGATTAAGAATCCACCAGTGAGGACTATGATGGAATGCCTCGTTTCCAGTAAAAAGGGTCTCCGGATTTCTACACTCATCATACGAAATATAGCAATATTAAGCAGTTATTTTACACTGGTATTCTGTGAGAGCGTGGTCGTTCCCCGGTCGAGCCGACCCATTCGTGCTACAACTATACTACTAATATAGCTACAGCATGGCTCTACCATGTGTAAATCACGAATATTCGCCATATCTCCAAAGTTTTTTGCCATAATTGGTATAGTAGGGTTGGTAGCCGTAAGTTTTTGTTATTTTGTGTTTTAATTTTTATAATAAGGCACACAAACAGATTAAAGACAATACATGGCACCAGTCAAAGTATCAAATATTATAAATAATATATACTCCAAAAGAGTATGCACTACAAATCAAAATATAAAGATTTAGAAAATCCAAAAGTGCACTCCCCAAACGCTCAGGTAATAATTTACACGTATTACGGAAGTGATTATCGACAAGTGGTAAAATTAAAAATTTTGTGCAACTAACTTCAATATAATTAAAATGAGAACAACTATAGAGTATATATAGAATACTATAACTGTCAACCTTATTTTATACGGGTGTCGGCGTCGCCGGGAGCACACATACAAGCTATTAATTACGTCGTATTATAGTTAATCACTACTACAAACCCGATTCGCAGTGTTGACAGATGGATTTTAATACATATTTTTTGTAAATAGCGTGCAATTCGGCATTTTCTAAATAATTTGCATGCGAAATTTGGAAACGATTGTAACGTCAAAACACATCTCGTGTTGACATTTATACGTGTGAACTGACGTGTTAGTGGAATTTTAGTGGCTACACGGGCTCCGCCCACTCCCCCGTTCTATTATGTATTATTATAGTATTCTATGATTAAATACGCATTATTAAGGATAACTCAAATACTACTAGTCAGATCTTGATTTATATGGGACCACACGAGAAGCACCAGCTTTCAGATAAATAAAGAATCGTCAAAATCGATTCACGCAGAGAAAAGTTCAGAGATAATACACATAAAAAAACGTACGGTCGAATTGAATGTCTCCTCCTTTTTTAAGTCGCTAAAATTAACCAACTCTATATGATTCTGAAGATAGTGAAGGTTAGGACGTTTTGTTAAGTAGTTCTCGACATATATTGTACGCAGAGAGTTAATGAACCACGGACCAAAGGACATCCACGGTATAATTTTTATCGGACTTTATTTAATTTAAAAGAAGCATCAGGCTTGCCCGTTATGTTTACCCTTTGTACTCATGTGCTCTCCATAACATATTAGTGAAATGTAAATAATAAACATCACTTAATGTTAATAAAACAGTATTTCAAAAATTCGACAGTAGAGCCCTCAAGGTAATAGCCTCCGAGTAATTCTAATATAATAAATTAAAATAATTCCGAGTAATACCTCAGAGTAATACTAGCATAGAAAGATAGTCCTAAAATAAGAACATAATTCTTATAGCTGAACTTTTTATACATATGACGTTTAACATGGTACGAAGTAAGATAGCTATATTATTCTCAACTTCATTCTTTTACAAGGTTTTTGCCATTTTTTCATTCCATGGACACCTCTATTGATGTGCCATTAGCAAAACAAAAAACGTTGTCGATAAATTCATTAAGTCAGTGACTTAGTAAAATTAGGGGTTTTTATTAATCCGGTTTGTAGAATTTATTTATATCAATGAAAGTTTGTGGAAGCTTATTTGGCATAGTATAAAGAGATCAAAGATGACCACTTGACATTTCTATTTACACGCATGAATACACGTAACATCTTTCAAAAGAGTTGTCTCTCTTTTCCTAATTTAAAAATTAAAGTAGAAAAAGCGAGGCAAGAGTGGTTTAAGAACTTTATTCTCATTAAGAATACAAAATTCACTTATCATGAGAACATAAAAATTTATAAGTTATAGCAATGTCTGGAGAAACACAGAAGTTGGGGGTACATTACATATACATACAGTTAAAAACAGTCACAGCGTCAGAGAGAGATACAATCACAGATATATAGTTGCACTGAGCTCAACAATTTACAAGAAGCGGCTTGAGATACATATTTAGTAATATTTTATTCTAATTCGAATTAGTAATGAACAATAAAAAATAGAGTATTAGGTTCTATCTATGTATAGAGTTTTGGCGCGAACTTGGCCGTAGACGGATTGTCGCTCTTGTTTTGTCGCTTGAATAATGGTTTGAAGTGGATTTTGATTCGTAAAAGTGATGCGATTTTGTGAAGTAAGCGTCCGCGTGTGTGAACTATTAGAGAAAACGACGAAACAAGTGCTTTGATGTTGATATAAACCTCAAGTTATTTTGATCGCTTGGGCGCCTTATGAACTTGAGTGGCTGTCGTTATCAACAGTCCGCTGGGTTGAGCTGTCGTCAAAATCTCTCAAGGGCTTCGCAATGTGATGCATCACCATATTATGAAGAAAAAATATAAATATAAAGATTCTGAAAGAAATGATAGGCTCAGAAAGGCTAGAACCCAGAGCCGTAAAGCCAGTTAATAAAAAAATCTCTACGCATTCGTATGCATGTATTTACTCAAGTAGGGTAAGATAGAGCCCAACTCCTCCGCTTCGAGTTCGATATGCGCAATATGACGTATTGTATGAATTATCAAAAACATGTAATACATAGTAAGAGTATCTGTAAAAAAAACATATTTAATATTGCGATTTTAAATTAAGATGTTAGAATTAAAAATATCCAGATCAGCGTTATGATGCTCATTTCATCAAGGAACATTCTGCTGCCTATACTTTGTTCCATTTTTCTTGTTCGCCCCTGACGACACACATGACCCACTGGATGTAATGGAGTAATGTATTCTCTTAGGATGCCACTACATGGTGTAAAAAATAAATAAAATGAACGAAGAGATTTTCAAATGCCTGCCCACTCAAATAGATAACATATTTGATAAACAGGCAAAACAGATTTGATATATTTGACGGCGTAAAGGGTATCATTAAGTTGCGATTAAGTATTGTTTTGGGTGTGGATGTTTGTCCTTGTACAATTTATAGGTGTAAACTGACTTCACTATACAAGAGAAAATCCTATATTATTTGTAGGCCATATAAGTACTTGATTCGTGAGGAATTTGATCCCGCGGCACTTAGTAAAAAAGTAAAAATCTACTATCCAAAATTTTAGAATATTTTGTAGGACATAAATCAGCACTTGTCCTCAAATTCCATTATTATTTTTCTTTGTTGACAGATTATTTGGTACAAAATGCGACAAATGCGGTGCATCCTTCAGTAAGAACGACTTTGTGATGCGGGCGAAAACCAAAATATACCACATCGACTGCTTCAGATGCTGTGCGTGTGCAAGACAACTTATCCCTGGTGAGTTACCGCTTTTTATTTTTAATAGAATGAGAGTAATAAACGAGCACACAGTCCCCATAAGCATGCAGATACGTTGTCACCTCCAGGACTGAGATGAAATACCTCGTTTCCTGTAAAAAGGGTATCCAGTCCTCTAGACTCACCATACGAAACACAGCAGTATTGAGCTGCTATTTTATGCCGGTATTCTGTGAGAGCGTGGTCCTTCCTTGTCGAGCCGACCCATTCGTGCTACAATCATAATATAGCTTCAACATGGCTATGCTACAAATAAAACCACCTGTCACCCAGAGGAGTAGGCAGAGAATACGGACTTCAAACGAGAGCAGATTCTGACACACCTCCCCCGCTTCTTTCTCATTCCACGTCGGTTAATTTGGTCCAAATTCAATATCTAGTATTTGGTCTATAGTCTAGATCGCCTTGCCGGCTCTGTCACTCACTTCTGTAGCATAAATAAGCTTTATAACTCTTTTTATTCATGATTTTTTCGTATCCAAACCACTGAAACATGCCATTCTCAATCCTGGTTACGCTATTTTCTAGCAAACCACACTTTTCTCTTCACATAATTTTTCACTTTATTATTCATTATAACGAGACCTTATCCTTAGAATAAATAACGGAATACATGTAAGGAACCGTGACCGTGTATGTTATCCATGACCGTGTGTATTTGAATATCCTATGTCAACTCGTACATGTCGTAAGAGGCGACGGAGGAAAACAAACCAGGAAATAATAAAAAACTGCGGTTGTAAACCCGCCTGCCAAGCGTGGCAGGTATGGCAAATATCTGCCCTTATGAGGCAATCTATGGGCGGTCTTGGTTCAGCAATGTACTTTTGTTCAGCAATGGACTTTTGTTCAGCAATTGACTTTTGTTCAGCAATGGACTTTTTGACAGCACTGGACTTTTGTTCAGCAATTAACTTTCGTTCAGCAATTAAATTTTATTCAGCAATGGACTTTTAATAGGCTGTAACGATAAATAAGGAACTATTCTTATAGCGTTCAACGTAAAATATTTAGTATGGCGTTATATATAATTTATGACATTGCAATTTTAATATATTACTTGTGATAATATCGTCCATATCTAAATAATGAATAAATCCACCGGAGAACTAAGGCAATTCTGTATTCTTTTTCTTTAAAAAATATTCTTACCCCCACGTTAAAATTTTCGCCTATATCTTTTTCTATATCTTCTATATCGATATTAACATACATAAATTGTAAAATAAAACATCCATACCCAGAACGATTATTTGTACGCCATAGAAATTTTTATTCAGTGCGGGATTCCGCGGCTCCGCAGTCAAACATCACAAAATTAAATTTAAAAGTGAACATTATCTACCTCATATTAATGTAAAGTATAGCCTATATACATCCCCCTCTTGGGCACTGGCCTCCTCTCATTTCAGAGGTTTTTTGAGCAAGTAAATGTCTGCCACGCTGCCTAAGTACCTGTTGCCGGACTTCACACATCTTTTGTAATTATTTTTTTTAACATGCAGATTAGTCGATGTCCTCACGATGTTTCCTTCACCGCCGAGCACGTGTAAATCAGCGCTTAAAACTGCAATTACCAATTTCATGTGTGCCGGCAGAGATCGAACTCGGGTTGCTCGCGTAGTTTTACGCCAAGCGCTAAGCCCCTAAAGCTACTTCGGCTATATATTATTATATAGTTAAGTCGGTAATGTACTCCAGATCTAATTTCGGCCACGGCGGCCAGCCTCAACGGAGACTAGCCATCAGCGCAGGACAGGATTATAGTGTCCAAGTCTATACGCAAGCACAGGTGCACTCTCTATAATTTAAAAAAATTCGCATATCTACAGTCAGGTTTATATAACATGTAAACTTTTTGACTTCTTAAGGCTAAATCATATTGGTAGTCTAATGAATGTAGAACCATTAATATAAACTTTTTTTTACAGGAGACGAGTTCGCGTTAAGAGAAGGAGGTGCTTTATACTGTAGAGAAGACCACGATGTATTAGAAAAGGTTTTTTATCCTGTTTATTTTTTATTTTTTTCTTTAATATCGATATGTCTGTGTAACTTACTGCTAAAGTAAAAAAAATTGGTTGTCTGTAAAGTCGGTTTACGGACGATAGTTTAACGTGACAACGTCATTACAAAACATTGATGAAATGATTGCATACTTTGTGGAAGAGAGATAGATGCGGCACAAGCCGAACACTCAAGCCGATAGTGGCTTTCGCTCGCTCGTGCAGCGCTCTCGCTCCGATCGTAACGTTACAATGAGCGTAACGTTACAATGAGCGTAACGTTACAACGAGTCATCCTTTTTCGTGCGTGCAGCCGGCGTTTATCGATTTATTAGACGTTGCCATGTCAAAAAACTTTTGAACAATAACCCTGTATGTCAAATATGATTAAAACTATTCTGTGTTCCACAGAGTGCAAACACGAGTAGCAGCAGTGGCACGAACGCGGAAAGCAATAACAACACCACATTAAGCAACAACAACTCCCACCATCCCCACGAGCTTGGATCTATGTCTGGTAAGTATTTATGATAGAATCAGGCGTATGCAGAAACCGCGAACCGTGAACACAAAAGGTCGTGGGTTCAAATCCGCCATTCGACAACTGTCATAAACTACTCCTTACACAAGTATTTTAATCTTACAAAGAGTGGTGTTTTATCCATGGTAGAGCCATGCTGCAGCTATACTAGTAGTATAGTTGTAGCACCAATGGATCGGCTCGCTCGAAGAACCACGCTTTTACAGAATACCTGCTTAAAAGAGCAGATTAACGCTGCTGTGTTTTATATGACAAGCGTAGAGAACCGGAGACCCTTTTAACTGGAAACGAGGCATTCCGTCTTAGTTCTCAGGGGTGATAATTAGTGTTGCCAGGCCTCCCGATTTACGCGGCACGTCCCGATTTTCAAGGGTCTGGTGACACGTCCAAAATCACGATCGATAATTTTGACAGCAAATATTTATACATCTGTAACCTGTAACTCTTTTATAGAATAAGGGTGACAAAGGACCACACATTCCACCTGATGGTAAGTGGACACTGTGGCACAAAACATCTACATTTATCCCCGATTGAGAATCAAAATGCAGATGCGTTTTCACCCCTGAGGACTAAGATCGAATGCCTCATTTCCATTAAAAAAGAGTCTCCGGATCTCTGCACTCTCCATACAAAGCATAGCAGTATTAAGCTACTCCTAAGCTGCTGCTACTATAAAGAAAGACGTCATTCATGCTGTCTGGTTTTTTCTCTCACCGCCTACTACGGGCGCTATGAATGGAGTTCGTCAATTCGACGATCCCTTATTATTTCATTCTTTTACTAGTAAACACTTCAGTACCGAAGTCACAAGCAGCTTATTTATGTAAGTTAAGTGAAATAAAAACGTCAAGTTGGTGGGTAAGTTCTACAGTAGGTAGAGCTTACACACTTACCCACAAGACGTTTGTATTTCATTGAAATTGACTATTATCAGAACTTCCACCATTTATCAAATTCATCAAGCGTTAAATTGTTCTTTTTCATAAATAAAATTACATTATGTGTGCGGTGATAAAGTTGAGATTAAAAAGAGACCACATTCACAATCAAGTTTGCATGATGCAGGAATGTACAAGCTTGGTATCCTGTAATTATTAAAATTAAAACTTAACGCAAGCATACAAATGCAAGACTTCAATACAGTAAGGTCTGCGTAGATCGGACCAAAAGTAATGATTAAAAAGGTGAAGATACTCCAAATGAACGTTGACACCGGGACGTTAATCACCTCCGTCCCTCCGTGACCATGGGTGCACCCGAAACGTCGAGAATCACAAATAAATAATATTAAATGCGATAAAATCCGTAAAAATAGTTTTTCTTAATGTGGTAGAGTAAATCATTACGTGAGAGATGAGAAAGAGATGAGATTTATTACTTTTTCTCAGAATTTTATACGTTTCGTATGGTGAGTCTAGACTCACCATACGAAACACAGAACCGACCCGTTTTACTGTAATCAAGGCATTCCATCTTAGTCTTCAGGGGTGATAACGCATCTGCATTTTGTTTCTTAATCGAGGTTAACACTGGAAAAAATAACACTGAAAAACGTCCCACCACCGTCTTCATTACGACACGTGTTCTTAATGATGATAGTGATAATGATGATGATGAATGATTTAGTGAATCAGTGAAAAATAAAATTATTTCTATAAAACGTCTAGTCAAAACATAGTGCAAAAAAAACCGCAAGCGCTTATCGTATAACACTCATAATTGGGCAACGTATCTTATCGATCTGATTCGAGTGGAGTACACATTGATTCCCGATTCGGCACTGATTACAGGTACACTAGGCGGAACACTAGGAAACTGGCAGTTTGCTGTGTCATTCTTAACACATGAAGAAAATAATTTTTATAGTAGTTTTAAATAGTCTCTTTTTACTGTAATGCATGTATTATATGATGATATTTGAACACAAAAGACAGAGCTGATTCTGCAATATTATTCTGTCATATTTAAGACTTATTTACTTTATTGCTGGTATGTACACTAATCAGAAACCCTACGACGTGACCGGTGTTGGTCATTGTGTTTCAACATCATTACAGCAAATGTTGCCATTAATGGGAACCAGGTATATATCGAACTAGTGATATGACTTCTGGACCTCGACAACAGCGCCACCTGTCGTGTCCAATAATGAATTTAAACCATCCAGGGACCCATTTAAATACGTGTATGTTTAAGTTTACGTGGTAGAGCCACGCTGCAGCTATATTATGGTTGTAGCACGAATGGGTCGACTCGACCGGGGAAGGACCACACTCTTACACAATGCTACCGTAAAATAGTAGCTTATTACTCCTGTAGAGATCGAGAGACCCTTATTTACTGGAAACGAGGCATTCCATCTTAGTCCTCAGGGGTGACAACGCATCTGCAATTTGATTCTTAATCGAGGGTAGATGTAGATGTCTATGGACCACAGCATCCACTTCTCATAAGGTGGGCTGTGTGCTCGTAAAATGCAAATGCATTGTCACCCGTGAGGACTAGGATGGAATAGGTTTCCAGTAAAAAGGGTCTCTGGTTCTCTACACTCACCATACGAAGCAGCATTAGCAGCTATTTTACGCTGGTATTCTGGTCGAGCTGAACCCTTCGTGCTGCAACAATAATATAACTGCAGCATTGCTTTACCATGTAGTACGTTCCTTGTTTCGTTCTTTACTGTTTCGTGAGCATTACTTATGTTTAAAGTAATTAATAGACCTGAGTCTAAAGTGCAACTTTGTAGAAATCCAAAAAATTTAAGACCACCTCCCGCACTCTCTCAATTGCATGCACTATCTCAGTCACCATTATTCCAACATCACTACTCCCAACGTCACTAATCCCAACACCACTACAATAGGAAAGAAACATCACTGTCGATAGTACGACACGTGTTTCGCCTCTTAACAGGACATCATCAACTGAAATAGACTCGGTGATGGCTGACCGCTAAGTTAACGGGAATCCATCATCGCATTACGTCGTGAGACTGCAATATAATAAACTAAAGTTAATAATCCCCAAAAAGCAAGCGGCGGCTTACAATCTTAGTTTCCAGCCATCATTATCATCATCATTACATAAATCCACCCTTCACAAGTCCACTGCCAGACAAAACCCCCTCCCCCCCAAGGAATGCCGCAAAGCACGGTCCTGAGCCACCTGCATCAATCGACTTCCTGCATGTCTTAACGGGTCGTTTGTTTTCAGCAGTATGACGATGATTTAACATAAATTAATAGAAGTGTGTTTGAAGACTTCTTAACTTGTGGTGCTTACTGTACGTGAGCTATCGCTCTGTGAAGTTTGCCGACAAAGCGGACGCCGCTTTTATATTGGTCGCGTGAAAACTGAAGTGGATTGACTTTTTATCTGGTTGTTAGTGATGAAAACTATGTCTATTATATCTTAATAAAAAGATACGTTGACCATGTTGTGGGGGGAATTATCCTTACTTATGACGTCATATGTGTCGTAACTAGGATTGCTAACGGTACCATATAATATATTACTATTATAGTAGCTTTGAAATAATAGCTTTAATATAAAGTAGTACTTTAGCGACCCGGCTTCGCACGGGTGATTTCTAGATCGAGATCGAGAAATTAACTGTTCATGGTGCTGTTATTTCGATAACAGCGCCACCTACCGAGCCCTAGTGTTAATCTAAAACATTTACGGACCCATTCAAATACACAAAAAAAAAATCATCAAAATCGGCCGAATCGTTTTTGAGTTTTAGCGACTCTAACGAACACCAATTGATTTATATATATATATATATATATATATATATATATATTTTTATATGTGTAAATATATTATAGTATTATATGTACTATATTTTCAGTAGGTGTACAAAAATACTCACAATTGTTGCTTGTTAAAAATACTGAATTTCTACCAATAATAATTGGCAATGCTATTCGTAAGAGGCAGCAGAGGGAGACAAATCAGGAGCTGGGCAGCAGCATCTTCCTGACAACGACTAAAAATAAAAACCAACTAACTCTCTTCCAAGCTTTGCAATTATTCAGAAAGCTCACACAGAATACCAGCATAAAATTCGTATGTTGTGTATAGAGAACCGGAGACCCTTTACTGGAAACGAGGCATTCCATCTTAGTCCTCACGGGTGACAACGCATCTGCATTTCATTTCATCCACTTACCATCGGGTAGACTGTTTGCTCGTTTGTCACCCTTATTTATTTATTTTATTGACATATTTAGTATGTATTACACACCTTATAATAAGGGATATTGGCATTCACTATTAGTCAACCCAGTCAACCCTGAATGATTTAAGAAACTATACATGTAAAAAATATACATGTAAGGTACAACAAAATACAAATGAATGGAGTATATTTATTTATTATTTTATTTTCGGTATTATTAGAAACACTTACACATTTGATATAATTAATATTAGGAATGATTTATAATTTTAGTATTAGAATAGATTTGAATGAATTTAATTTTATTCTATGATCCTTGTTAATTAAAATAAATAAATAAATATATAACAAAAATATTAATACTTATTATATACTAAATATATAATAATAATAAAGAATGAATAATAAAACGGGTGCTTATATAAAATTGACAAATAAATTAAATAGCATAATACAAAATTAAAATAATACGATACATATTAAAATACATATTTTACAAAATATCATCTATAAAGTGAAAGAGAGAAAAACGAAAGTCAAATAAATCAGGTGGTATTATGCTTATGAGAGAATTCTCGAACTAGTGTTTGAAAAGAATTCTTGTTACTAGTTTTCTTGATCTCAATGGGCAAGGCAGCCCAGAGCAGTATGGACTGCACAGTAAAAGAGAAATTAAAGAAACCACTCTTATGTGGTAGTACGAATTTTGAGGCCATTTTGGGTACGGTGAACTACATCGTGAAAAGAATACAGATACTGAAAGTTAGCCTTAGGCCTGGTTTACATTTTG